TGGGGAAGCTACCCAGGGATGAATCGTGGAAGGATTAAGTAAAAATCGGCGGAATAAAAGTGGACTAGAACCTGAGAAATACTAAGATGTCACTAAAAACTAGCTTAGAAGTGGACAAAAGGAGACGACGAATTGAAAATTTATCTAGATAGCAAGTAGTGAGGGTCTAAAAAAACGAACTAAAAAGAGATTCAATGAATGCGGAAGTTATTTAAAACTGGTCGTGCAAAAGATAAGAGAATTGTGTTATTTTGCCAGCAACAATAGACACGGTGGACAAATGAATCTAGCCATGAAAGCACTGAGCATTACTACTTGTAAGAGACATAGGATTCACAGATTTCGAGTTTTTAGCCAAGACGAGATTGGGAAAGTCAAAAATATTTTATCTAGTAAATACATTTTCAAGAATTAAGGTGAACTCAGCCACCATAAAGTTTATTTGAGTTTATAAATACTTAAAAAAAGACCATATCTTAAGCATTATTTTAATCGGTTGTAGTGTATAAAAGAACTTCCGTACGACGAGATTCAGCAATAGTAGTCGTGCAAATCAGAATTCACACGAGAATGAATAAACGTGTAAACATATTTCGAGTCCAGACAACCAGGCTACTCACCAAACCTTTGAAATAGCAAGAGCATCAACACGAAGAAATATCAACAGCATAGGCGAAAACAGTAAAATCTAACAAAACAACTATAGCAATAACAAAGCCGACAAAAGCGATCGACATTAGCGGCCATGATAAATGTGGCAACGGCAACAGAGACGGAAAAACCATTGCAACCAGAATCGCCAGCAGAACCGTGAAAATAAAGACTAGGGCTAGCAGGAGTGGGAAAAAAATAAGAGGGAAAAAGGAAAAGAAAATAAAAAAGAAGAAAAAAGTAAATAAACGAAGGTGATGAAAAGAAGAAATAAAAGGAATATTGAGGACAAGCGCTACAATAAAAAATTTACCAAAAAAACATTACTAATAGGGTTATATGGTTGCGTTAGTATACGATAGTTAATATTGTGTTTGATTAAGAATGTTCAGGCTATCAGAACTGCAAAAGCGATCTTGATTTACAAGAAGGCGGTTCCGGATCCTCGAGATAGGTGACAGGTCCCAGCATTAACTGAGGAGTCGCCATTGCGACTTGATCGAATGCGTAACTACTCATATTTCCTGATGGGATTGACATTAGAAAACATTCATCCTCGCCATCATCGACCTCGGCATCAGAACTGACTGTCCAGCTGTGAAGGGCCTGATAAAAAACAATGAAAAGTACAGTAATTTAGGATGTCATAAAGTGTAGTGTAGATGCTCAATACGAAGAGAGTGGAGATGGAAATAACGTGAAATTAATGAAGAATAAAAGAATTATTAGATCAAACTATGAACAAAAATATCGTTACTATATTGTTTTTGCCACACTTAAAAAGTTCAACGCTTGGCCGTTATTTTAGCTTGATAAATGTGACAACCTCTTTTGATAAAAAAAATAGGCAATATAAGATGGCTGAGTCACGGGAAGTATAAATCAAGGTGTGAGGAGTCAAGACGAATTTAATATCCTTTAAACGACAAGATGGATGATCAGATAGGCATTATATATGGTGACGGTTTATCAGATTACAAAAAACGTTGAATTTGTAAATAATTGCGGTAGAATGAACTGAGATTACTTTTGAATGTTAATGTTGAATTATAAAATAATCTGATTAGACATTGCCTCATAGGACTGAGGGTCGAGCAATATAGGAAATATTTAAAGTAATGCGTATAGTAACTATGATGGAAAACGGAGATATATACAATAGCATTTAATATAAAATTTAAAACTAATCGTTAGTTTGACTTACTTTGAGTTTGTCAAGTATAGAAAACGGAGCTACAGGACAGAAATCTGGTAGACTATATCGTCTACCCCGACTCGATTGAACTATCCCTCGATCACTTTTGCACATGATGTTCTCTTTCTTCAGCTCCTCTTTCCCCTCATTAGAGGTATAGTCATTAAATACAGCACTTGGTTCACGTATCTTCGCTGGTCTAGATACAAGTGGGATAGGCTCAGGATGCATTTTAGAGCAATCAGAAGAAGCACCAACTATAAAAGTCAATGGAGTAGGTGATAAATTGTGATCAGGAGCTAATTTACTGGGGGGCACGATGGAGGGAGTCTCATCACTGTTTAAGGATACACAAGTGGCCAATCCGATTGCCGCATCAGACGCCTTTGAAACTAGATGCTCGTCAGTGAGAGAAGCAGGGGCCGTAAGAGCAGGAAAAGTAGACGGATCGTCGTGGGTAACGATGGCGAGATCGTTGCTAGGACTACTTGTTCGTGATATAATAGTTTTCTCTGTCCCAACGCCATTCTCATCGTCTTCCGAGTCACTATTCATCAGAAGCTCACGAGTGGAAAATATTCGTGCCCCAGTAGAATCGATCTCGCCCAAAAGACTTCGTAGTGTTGCAGCGGAAGGAACAGATGGCAGAGGTTGCTGCTGCTGTCTTGATTGCTGAATCTGATATTGATATTGGAAACCTGGCGAATTTCCATCAACGCCAAGCCGGCCCCCAGACATGGCGAATGAGGAGGCAGGAGATGAGAGAATCGAAGCTCGACGGAGATACACGAATGGATCAAGCCACACACAAAAGCCTCGACGTCGCTGCTGAGTACGAACATTCCCACATCGTAAAGCTGCAGTAGGGGCATTGGTTGAAGGAATGTTGCATGAGGGATGACAGGAACGCCCAAGTCTACTGGAACAGTACTGATTATAATAAAAGTGAAAGAAAAAAGAGCAGTTAATGAAAGTATAATGAACGAAAAAGGTAAAAAAAACATTGGTAAATAAGATTAAGTTAAGATAGTAAAAGATACAAAAGCTTAGCTGTTCATAGAGAAGATTGTAATATAGAAGAAAAGCAACAAAATGATGCTATAGGTGAGAAGGGAGGCTAAAGAGCATAATGGACTAAAAAGGTTTACCGAAAGTGTAATTGCCTACAAAGATACAAGATGAAAATAAAATATTCAAAATAAATCTTAGCTTTCAATACATTCTATAAATTCAAAATAAAAAGGAAAATTAAAACCTAGAAAGAAATTGAATGTAATTTGAAAATTAAAGTTATAGGCTGTTTTATAATCGTCCCAGAAATAGGAGAGGCTATTGGTAAGTAAAATAGGAATGATTAGAGGCCGTATTTGTTATGCACTCTGAGTTCATATATATGATGAATATATATATTTATATATTGAGTTTAGTTAAGGAACTTAATATGGAACCAATAAAATAACATATATTCATTTCTTAAGAATAATGAAGTAAAATTAATGGTCCCAAACAAAATAGTCAGCAAAGAAGGGAAAACATTTAAATAAATTTAAAGTATACGGATCGATATGATTAAATTAAGCTATTTTAAATCAATTTAAAAAGTTACAATAATAAAAAGCAATAAAATAATAATAATAATAATAATAATAAGTTAATCATAGGGGTTAGAAAGTGATCCGACTAACGATAAGCATGCATTAGACCGATTTTAGCATAACAAAAAAACGGAAGGTCAATATGGAATCTGTAGTACTGTTATAGTTTGCTATTTTAAATTAATGCGAGTGTAAATTTTATCTCATTTTAAGGGATTCGTAAATTGGCTTCACCGGAAGAAGAAGAAGGATTGTATTGAAGTCATGACTATATTTATGCGATTAAGTCCATTGCGTGGGATTGATTACAAAATAAAAGTAATTTAAAATGAAAAATTTAAATAATCAAAAATTGTCTTTACGAGGAATCTATTTGACACTGAGTTTAAATAAAAGTATAAAGAAGCCTTAGTCATTTAATAAGAAATATTGACCTAAAAATAAGCTCTTTATAATTAAAGCATTTAAATCCACAAACTAAGTTCGAGATCAAATAGAAGCTGAGTGAAATATAAAATAGCATTTTATGAGTTAATAGCATTAAACTATCCAATCAGTCCGTACTGAGCTGAATAGAAAGCAAAACGATCATTAGCGCACATCAGAATGTAAGTCACGGAAGTAAAGTCCATAAAAAATTAAAGTGCTGAAGGAAAATCATGGTGATTCTAAGATCTGACGAAGCGAAGACGAAACTACTCCGAGTATTTAGTGATTTTATCACCATAAGAAAATCTGATTAAAAAATGTTTAACAGTAATTACTCCATTCAACTTCAATAAGTAGTTGTTTGATCGTGTTTTCGTAACTTGGTCATATTAGTAGGAAGACTTAGAGGAACGCAACTAATCCGGAGTCCATTGTATGCATGATCATTTCCAGAGTAGGATTGCGGACGTGGTACATTCCCAGAAGTTTAGCCGGAATCGTACTCGGCATCGTCAGTGAGTCCTCCCATTCTTAGCCCTATAGTACAGCCCGTCAAAGAGACAAGTGAAGCCCGTCCTAGGGGCATGGGAAGTCATAGACTTGGTATTAGGGATAGAGACAGAATAGACGCGACAGCAATTGGAGCTAGTTGGCTGACAATAGGTTTTACAAGAGACGTGAACCATGTAGCAAAGGCATGACCATGAGACTTACTCAGAGGCTTTCGCCTCAAATTAGTCAACCAGGCGCAGGGGAGGGTGCCTCGAGTAACACAGATGGGGGGGCAGGGATCGGGTGAAATACGTGTACCAGAAAGATAGCATATGGATTATATGGAGCAAGAGGGTGACTCTGATAGGACCAAGGGAAGGAGCACTACGTAACAATATGGCAGACTCTGATCAACATTCTCAGTACAAGGGTGAAGTGGGTGAGAGCGACAACGTGAAGTGTGAAGGATTTTCATAAATGCCTCTCGAAGGAGCACACCACACTTCATCTAAATATGCACAGTAAAAATTGTAACAGTGAAGGCGTGATAGGAGGATATAGGAAATATAAATAGCCCAGAGCAGAAGAAAAGATACCACAACTGCTCAGCACATATATGGTCAAAAGATTGGCTTCAGTTGTCTCTTTGACTAGTTTTGGTATGGTGCTGAGAATGGCAAGATTCGCTGACGATGCTGGCGGAACGTCTTGGAATCTACCACGTCCACGGTCCTACTCTGGGAATGATCATGCATACAATGGACTCCGGACTAGGTGCGTTCCTCTAAGTCCCCCTAACAATATGACCAAGTAGCGAAAACAAGGTCTAACAACTTCTGTACAACGAAAGGAGACTACGACCACACAAATGGCCACACTATCTTGGTCTTTATACCTTCGATTCAATAAGTAGTGCTGGTTTGACCTAGGTTTCGCAACTGCATCGGACTATCGACTTAATACAATCCAAAACGTTTCGCCGGCAACATTAGTGAAAGGCGCCTTTGTTAGAACAGTGTTAAAATTTATCAAAGTGATAAATGAAGGCAATACCGTCGACAAATTTTCTGTTCAACCGTTGTGGCGTCACTGCTCATTCATATTTTTGTCTTAGCCTAGAGTGTTGTGCCTCTTTTTCTCAGCCATACTTCATATGGCCCAGTACAACAGAGTAAATAAACAATCGAAAGTCAATTGTGTAATTTGACCTTCCTTGACTGATGCAAAGTTTATGGCATCATTCCTAGTTCATTTTATTTGATGGGAAAATATCATTCCGATAAGGTCAATGATATATTATGTGAAGCTTCGTCGCAAGAAATTAGAGGAAACATATAAAATTGAAAGAAAAATTATTTATTTGAAGATTAAATCTAGACTCAGGAATGATTTGATTAGGATTATCATCATGGAGGATTTCCTGAAAATACAGAATATGAAAGAGGAAATGTCGAAAACGATCTCAGACTTAATCGAAAAAATGCACCAAATGAAGCTGAATAGATATGGGATGTATAGACAGCCCAAGGTCCAACAAAAAGGCAAAAATGACTATTACTCTAGAATGACGAATCTCAAAATCCAAATAAGAGATTAAGATAAAGTAGTGGATCTATCTTTTTTTCCTCTTAACTTCGAAATCACAATGATCCTCAAAAAGGGGCTAAATTTTGCATTTG